TAACATTATAAAGTATGTTCTATATTCATGCGAATATAATACGTTTTAACGAAAGTAGGATATAGATTTTATGGCACTTTAATTTAATTTTAAATCCCGACGTTTCGAATAGTTTACAGCATTCATGGTTACGGTTACGTTACAGTGAATATTAAAACAGCTATTTTTGGGGAAACATTTACCCGAAAGAATTCATCCCTTAAATTGTGAATTATTTTATTCGAACAGTGTCTTCAGGTTTCGCGCCCAGACGCTTTATTAATTAATCAACGATAAACATTTTTAATGAGAGATGTCCTTGACACTAAAAAATAAAATAACAACATGTGTGTACTTATGTGCTCAAGTAAGAAATATTTCTTATTCAGCATTACAAAAGAAAAATAACTAAATATTTAATCCCTTGTGTCAGAACTCTTTGTTTGTGACATTCAATGATGTCTTAATAACATCTTTATTATTAAAATTGTTCCGCTTTACATTATAATTGTGAAATATTTTAGGTGAACGTGGCAGATGATAGAATTACACCAACTGGCGTAATTCTAGTGCCTCAGTTTCGGTATGCTAGTGTCATATCTATCTATTTGTTTATAATATCATTGCGTTACACATGACTTCTTATGGTAGAAATTGTTCAGTTTATGTTAAAAGTGACCAAACGAGCAGACGGTTCACCTGATGTTAAGTGAAAACCGCCGCCCATGGACATCTGCTACAACCGAGGGTTACAGATGCGTTGACAAACTTTTGAAAATTGGACTCCAGCTACCTCACTCACCAGACGAAACGCGAGAGTATTTTTCATAATTCCACTTTACGCCGGTCTTTTGTGAGGTCGTGGTACTTACCTGGACGGGCCTGCCCTTTCGTGCAACAGCCGAGGCTGCTGCGTGGTCCTACCACCATTGAAAGTAGAAGTTAGAAGACTCCGTAGATGACGATATTTTAATGTTCTAACTATTTGGTTCTTGCGTAGGCTGCTTTGGCATCTTCTAATCCGTATCTGTATTATTTTTAATATCACAAAAACATTGAGTTTTTACCATGCCACCAATTTTGCAAGGAATTACGATAACCTAAGATTTTACATTTAAGAGATTACCTGGCAATTCAATTTGAAGTTGGCAAAACCATTTATAATAGCATGAAATTAAGCTGCCAACAAAAATGGGACACTTTTAACGTCGTTAATAAAAGAAAGAGCAGCTGTTGCATTCAAAATTCAAAAATTCTGCTTACAGTGCGGGAAATTCTGAATATGAATTTTAAACATTTTTCAGTTCCAATGCCAAATGGCTCAAAGCGGAACCTATAAGAATTTATAACAGTGTTTCACTTTAATAATTCACTTTTACTCGTTAGAGAGAAGCCTTAGTTTTGTATTCTGAGAATGAATCAATTTTGATATGTAATTTCATTCAATGTTTCCCTATTCATCTTTTCCGAATGTATCGGGTTTCCCATTTTAGGGTTGAAAGTATGTGTACAGAAATTTATATTAAGGCAACGTTAAAACCACGCACGATAAAAATACATGTTCGTGTATTTAGCTAACAGTTGCTTTAGAATGTTCGATAGGACACCTTCTCAATCAGCCTTTTAATTTCTGAAAAAGTAAAAGAAAGTAAAGTAACAGCCTATATATGTCCCACTGCTGGGTAAAGGCCTCCTCTATATAGAGGGTATCAGGGCATAGTCCACCAAGCGGCCCCACTGCGGATTGGCGGACTTCACATATCTTCGAAATATTATTATTTTCTTTTGTTATTATTTCGAAAATATGCAGGTTTCCTCACCGCGGAGCACGTGATAAGTCAGCACTTAAAGTTAAAAACTTCATTGGTGCCGGCACCGGGGATCGAACTCAGGTTGCTCGAGTATATTGAATTAAAGGCGAGCGCCCGGACACTGAGCTATCACGGCTCTTTAATTTCTGAATGATGATAAAAATTTTATGCAGGAGGCTGCTTCATTAGGTACATTCATACCCAACAGTAACATTAGTTATTTAGCACCGTCAAGGAAGTTTTACATAAAAAACGTCATGTTTCGGTACAGAACACGAGTAAATGGTGAGCAAACAAAAAGGGCAAGTTTGAGAAAATTTATAGTGCGGAAATGAGTCTCAAAGTTGGTACGGTGCACCCAAGCAATGTATCTTTACAAAATACTCATAGCAGAAAATAACAGTAGCATTAACACGTAATCATTTATAATTATAAATACAGTGGTCAAAATTCGACCATAATTATGTAATGTTTTTTTATTGATTTAATGTATTTTTTACGCATAATTAAAAAAAAAGCACTCTGCACTCTTCTATGGGTACGTCCGTCCGCGCAATTTTCCTTAAAAGAGGTATAAAGTTTTTGCTTCACGTATTAATATATAGAAAAAGACAGATATGGGGGATATCTGTCTTTTTCTATATATCCTTCTGCACCAATCTATTCTTCCACAAGCTATCAACCTGCCCCCTGACCTTGAACGCTGAAAAGGGTTCGAAATGTCGGGAACTAATCTAAGCAGAGTCACGCATACGGAAATACGTGTATTAACAAAATGTGGGGATTGTCGTCTACGGGAGTCAAATTGTGAGATTCGCACAGTGACATCGTGGTTCGGTTCGTAAATTCCCACGTTTACCAATCTCTAGTGGTAAACGCAGTTTCGTTCCCTTGCACCGTCTGTAATGAGCATAAATACATTTTGTAGTACCCGAAGTCTCCCCTAGCAAGATAACGCTGGAAGAGTCAAGGCTTCACTCTTTTTTCGGCTTGTCCTATGCGGTTGAAGTGGATGGATGGTTGAGTCTGGCGTAGTCACGTGCAAATATGTTACTATAATTTTCACGGGGCTCACTTAGAAATAGTTTATAGTGATTAAAAGCAAAAGACTAAAACGTATGAGCGGGAGGACGTTAAGTGCATTGAAAGCTTTTCAAAAATTTCACAGCTTAGCTTAAAATTCCTTATAAATTCTATATTCAAATATTTAGCCGAGTACATACCTTGTACAAGTATATATCGTGTTAATTCATAGGCGATACAAGATCAACTTATCGCTGTTGGGCCACACCTTATAACAGGCATTATAAGAAAGCCTTTTCTGTATCGTTTCATTGTAATATATTACTAGTTCTACTAGCTCTTTTCAGTCAAAAATACAGACCTATTTATAAGTCACGTGTTGAGTAGCGACAATTTCTATCATGTGATGAACTTAAAACTCAATGATTTTTAATTTGTCAATAAATCAAGCACAATTTTTATCTGCATTACAACAAAAAGTGTTGAAGTAATTATTATTATTATTTGGTTGTTTTAGAGTTATTTGATGACTTTAGAAATAAAACGGACCAAACTCACGTTGTTTGTCCTTGACCGAACAACACGCTACTAGTGGGAATAATAAATTATTTATTAAACTTCTAATAAACATTGAAGTACTACTACGATTTCTGTTAAACAAAATAAACATTGAATATTTGATACGGACAAAATCAAGGACTCACGGCTCTGCGGGGAAACTTTTTGAAATATTTAACCGTAATACCATGTGGACCAGAAATATGTGTATTTCAGTATTTGTAGAGTTACGCACGTCGAAATTAATTAACATAAGTGTGCTTTAATATTATTTCTTTTCCCAGAGGAAAACTTTTTAACAAAATAACTAATCTCTCAATTCTTCCAGACACCTTCATAATAAAAATTAAATTGAAACTAATTATTTATTTTATCAATAATGTTATTTAACGGGAGTTACAGAGCTGACAAACAGCTTTTGTTATTCATTTGATGATCGTTGCTTTTACCAATGTTTTAATTGTAAAAACATATTTACTACTGCTGAAACTATTGTCGACTAAACCAGTAACCTGTGATTGTGAATTGGTCTCAACATACACTAGGTCATTACGAGCCCCGCTCTTTTAGACTTTACTTCAAAGATGTATTGGGAATTGTTAATACCTCTACATCCGTACATTATTTTCGCACTTATTTGTTTGCCGCCTTCCAACTACCACCAATAAAACTGAATCTTTCTATATTCTTCGGTGGTAGGGCCACACTTTCGCGTTTCGTCTGGTGAGTGAGGTAGCCGGAGCCCAATTTTCAAAAGGTTATCAACGCATCTGCAACCCTCGGGTGTGGCAGATGTCCATGGGCGGCGGTATTCACTTAACATCAGTGAACCGTCTGCTCATTTGACAACTTTTCGCATAAAAAAAATATTGGTTACTTTACCTTCAGGGTGGGCAGTATTCGCGCTTGACCATCTTTAATCATTTCTGACCGCGGCAGAAAACATACCCTCTGCTGCTAGCTGGTTTCTCGATTCATTCTCCCTCTTTCCATCGACCGCGTTTGCGATGCTTATGTTTTCCGAATATCTTTCTCGTTTTAAAATACTTTTCGGATATCGGACGAGCGTTTCGTTTCAACGACGAATATTAAATACGTTGTAACAATACCACGCGCCGTTTGGGAATTGGTCCCGTCGAAAAGCCTCCGATAAATTTTAATAATAAAATATCTATGAGTCAGACGGGAGCGTAGTAATTCCGATATTCATTATAATAGTTAATTAATGTATGTTTGTATAGCGAAGCTTTAAAGTTTGAATAGTGATTGGTAAATTCGAAATTTTCAGATATTTAATTATTGACGCAGTAAAATGGTAAATTGATTGGAAGTCAAAGAACAGTTTTCGTAAAAAAGACCCGTCAACTGTGAATACTCTCAATAACAAAAACATTTCACGTTTTGTTTCTTATTTTTTCTTTACGAATAACAATATGAACACCGTTCTTTCTTTTTTCGTTAAAATTATTCCCTGAACATAAATTACCGACACTGTCTTGCTATTTATCACTTGTTGCTATTGTTTCGCACGGTTAAATTGAAAAATTTTCCGTCGTGGAGCGTTAGCTTTGAATAATGAGGCGGCGAAGTTTGACTTCGCAAATTCCCAACTACGTGGAATATTAACAAATGCTGTCGACTTTTCAGCCTGTCGGTATATACCGTGGGAAGTACGAGTGGGTGAACGAGCACAGTGCAGCCAGTGGGGACTGTTCTCTATGGGTCCGCGCCGCGTCCCTGCAGCTCGACGACGGTCAATGGCAGTGCCAGGTCACTGCAAGCAACTACAACGTTCAGGTATTAAAAATACTATATGAAAGGAATGGTTATAGCGGACAAATGAAAGTGACGTCACTTGGCCTCTGTTATTCGACGGCTATAGATTGATAGTGATGATCAAAACTAATGTAAGTAGCCACCTCCTTCAATCCGTTATCATAACTGATTCTGCATTATATGGTATGCTTGTGATTGTACTGCGCCCTTTAAAAGTCATAGAAAATGTCACCAAGGTCAGCAGAAATAGCACCTTCCAGCAGTCGTAGCTGGAAGGTGACTCTGAATTTAATTTAATTGGAGAAAACCAAGTCAAAAAAGCTTTCAAAATATTATTCGGTAATTATTGTTAAGAAATTTCAGGAAAAATGTTTTCATTTTATTCTTAGTAATGGTTTTAAACTTGGTTAGTTACAATCTTGTTTCTATCCTATGATATAGGTATAATATAAAAACGGATTCCTAAAACCCGCCGCCAGAAGTTTTTTCATCTAAATATTTATTTTTCAATTCTAATAACATTCAATATTTCTTTAATGAGTCGACATTAATTTTGTTCAGTATTTGAATCAATTCAATTCTTTTAGGATGCTCTTTCAAGCCCTCCTGCAGCGCTTGCCGTGCGAGTGCCTCCTCAATCACCAAGAATCCTGTTTAACGGCTCCCACGTCCTGCCTGGCCAAAACATCACAGTACCGGCTGGCTCCAGAGCGACTGTCGTATGCGAAGCTAGATATGGAAATCCACCAGCTTACATCGAATGGTATCTAGGTAATGAAATCACCGCTATTTCATTCTGTGATTTAGTTGTGATGGTGGTAGTGGCAGATTAGTTTCTTGACCTCTAAAAAGGTCATTATAATAACTATTTCTACACCTCACGCCTGTTTTTCTAAAGTCCACTTTCCGTCATCGAATATGAATCAAGCATTTTTCCAATTTATTATCTTCGTAAACACAAAAGTTTATGAAATCCATATTCTCTTGATTTATTGGCATAATTCAACATTAAAAATGTAAAAAGGTTGCATCCAACCAAAAGTACAGTAATCTTCGTTTTTTTTAATCAAATTACGCATGGACGTCCCCAAACACAAGGCTGGAGTAAAGAGTAAAGAGCCAAATTGTTACTCTTCCTTACTGTTTCACTACTTTAGAGATAAGTATTTTTCTTTTAGAAAAGGAGCGTCTAACTGCATGGAGTCATACGAATGCGTCCGAAGTGGAAAGGCCAAGGGTGTGGGCAGCGCGCTCTGTGCTAGAAATGGGTGCGACCAGATCAGCGCATGGCAAGCGGCTGAAATGCCGAGCACATCACTTATCTTACCCGCCGCCTTTCTACCGAGATTCCTTTACGATGTTAGACGTTACATGTGAGTTGATATTTTTCCATCTTCAACTGAAAGATATTGTTCCGTTAAATATTTTGGATTGAAGCGAGCTGGTGGTTCACCTGATATTAAATGATAACCGCCGCCGACATTGGTAACACCCGTAGGCTAGTAGTTACGTTGTCACCTTTTAATAAAGTGGGCCCCGGTTACCTTTATCACTAGACGGAACGCAGAAGTAGTTGATCTTCAACTTCACGCTAGTTTTCTCTAAGTGGTACTTCTTTGGATGGACCTGACCATTCACGAAACAGTGAAGACTGCTGCCTTGCCCTTCCATAGTTAGTTACTATTGAAAAACTGAACAGTTACTGTTCTTTCGTACTTGGAATAGAATCAACATTTTTTTCGCAAATGCAATAACTCACGTTAATAAACAAATGTATTTTGGTTTCACGTGGTGTAATTTTGACCAATTTTTGTGATATTATTAAAACAGATGTTCCTGTAGTTTCTATTATCGGAGCTGATTCCAGTGAGCTATCCAGCCTTGAGGAGAACTCTAGTGTACTATCATTGGAATGCAGGGCCAATGGTAATCCCGCGCCTTATGTGTGGTGGACTAAGAATGGACAAGTTTTTGCCACCAGCGGTCCGAAGCTTATACTGGCACCTGTGACGAGAAATCATTCAGGTGGATTATAATGCATTTGGGTGTTTTGTATTGTCCTCTATGTATACTTTAATGTTTTGAGACATATATAAAATGAAAGCTTTCCTTCTACAGGCACATATGGATGTCAAGCGAGGAACTCTCTTGGGACGTCTGAGTCAGTCAAAATTGACATTGACATTAAATGTGAGTGTTGTCGAACAAGGTGTTTTAAATTTAATTTAGAAGTAACATCATAAATACATACTTCTATTTCAGTTCCACCCCGCATTTCCTGGATTGCCCCTGACACAATTGTCGAGGCGAATCTTTTCTCACAAGTCACACTAGAGTGCAAAGCTGAAGGCAACCCGTCTCCAATGTACCAATGGTACCACAGGTATGTAATTCTTCTTCTTTCAGTTTATTACACGAATAAAAGTTTCAGCACTGGTTACGGATGATGCAAAAATCCGATACTTTGGTTGACTTATATATAACAAACGATGTTGTTGAAATTATAGTTTTGTATTACTATTTATGGAATATAAATACTAAGAACTTAAAACCCACCCACTTACCCAATATTGCAGTTCAACTCAACAATGTTTCAGAGCTTTTGCTTTTTTTTTAAACTCAAATACTAATGACGAGGTTCAAATTGAACATTGTGTTTCTTACGGGTAATTTATAAGTATACTTAAAAAAATAATTTTAGAATATGTACCATAGTTTCAAAATGACCCACTACTTACAAAGAAACATGTAAGTATTTCTTCATATAAGTTGTTATCCAAATATTCAATGCATTAAACAGTCATATAATGGTTTCCGCTCCACGCCTTAGTGTTTCATCTGGCGCCAAGATTATTGTTGTTAATATTTAAAATTTGGATCTATTTATGGGGCCGAAATTTAGTGTTCTAGTTGCGAATTGCATTTCCTGCTTATGGAAAATTATTTTACTTGAACAACAAGTGCTGTTAGTGTTTTTAAAGAGTAAATTTACAAAAATGTTTGTAAAAGTTCTTAGTCACGAAAGTTATAACTTTGGTTTAGTAATAATAGCATGGAATAAAGTTGGTTTATTTTATTTTATATAAATTGAACAGTTAGGAAAAATCCGTGATATATTACTTTTTATATATAGCTTGCTTATTATGTGAAACTTTAGTAAAGGAACAGATGGTTCACCTGATGTTAAGTGATTACAGATGTACATGGGCTTGTATCCACCTGAGGAGTATCGTATGCATTACCAGCTTTTACAAAAGCTGGCCCCGGTTACCTTACTCACCATCAGAAGACCTTGGTGCTTACCCCGATAAGCATTCATCCAACTCCAGAAACTGCTGCTTGGTTTGCGTTTGCTTTTTCGCAGGTTGGGGAGGATTTAAAAAAATATATTATATTAATAAACGATACTGATACGAACTGGGGGTCGACAGTAAGTGATTATCTATTTTGGCTTCACCCATCCTTTTAATTGAATTTACTCCTATTACAGTCCAGGAACAAGTTTCAATTCGGATGACAAGTTGTTCGATGACGATTATTTGATATCGTCCACGTCTCAGTTACAACTACATAACGTTTCATACCATCAACATGGTCAATACATTTGCGTGGCAAAGAACTATATTGGGCACGAGGAAAAGTAAGTAGTAATGTCATATCAAAAACCAATAATATTGATGCAATCGTAACGTTCAGTATCTATTAAAGCAAAAAAAATTAGACTAAAAGGGCAAAAGCCATGGACTAAATTAGATTGCAACCACACTTATAGACGTCAATAAACGGTTCGCAATTAAATAAATTCAAATGTCAAGTAAAGTATTAAGACTGACCAATGCAAATGACAAATTTAATTACAAAAAAATCACCTAACCACTCTTTGTATTTTTTAAGCGTTAGGAAATGAGTTATTTATATACTCTTAATACAAATTAACAAGTATAATTTTTAACAAAAAAAAACCGAGTTCAATCAGAAAATTAAAAAAATTGTTAATACCTGTAACATTCTATGATGGCCCTCGATTTCTCTTGGATGCCATAATCAGATCCGGATTTCCTTTCGGGATATCTCCTTTCAGAATAAATAAAAAAAAAAAACATCAAAATCGGTCATAAACGACGAAGATATCCACGCACGCACAAAAAAAATAAAAATGTATACGGTCGAATTGAGAAACCTCCTCCTTTATTGAAGTCGGTTAAAAATGAAACATTATTTAAAAAAATAAGCAGTCATGCCGACAAGAGTTAAGATTTAAAACTGTAATAACTGTGTTTTTAATAAATTATTAGGATGAATAAGTAAAATCAAAAAATATTAATTTAAATTTCAAAAGACCTATTTTATTTCAGACGTTTTTATTTTTTATTTTTTTTAAAAACGACACCACCAGTATGTATATATATATATTTACAGTTAAATTTTTTTATGTGAATAGTTGCCAAGCGAGCAGGCGGTTCACCTGATGTTAAGTGAATACCGCCACCCATGGACATCTGCTAAACCCGAGGGTTCCAGATGCGTTGACAACCTTTAGAAAATTGGGTTTCGGCTACGTCAGTCACCAGACGAAACGCGAAAGTATTATACATTTGCCTTTCGTCTAGTGGTCGTTATACTTTAATTTTGAGTTGTTAAATATATTCTTAAAATTTATACAATTTTAATTTTATGATGCACGAAAAAAAATGGAATTGAACATCTGGAACCAAAGGATATTAAAAATTTAGGTCAGTAACGTCAATGACAAAACGTGACATTAACTTGTCGGTGACGTGATGCTACGAATTTTTCCCCCATCCAAAAGTATAAAGTATACGCCCAACGTGGATATAGAAGTACAAAAATGTAAAATAAAATATTTTATTTAATTCGAAATAAATTATTTTACTTGAAACAGTTATTCATTCTCCCATTAGATAAGGCACCATCTATTCGTGTTAAGTGAAACTAATTTACGGATTTTATCGCGTTTTAATCCTTAAAATAGTTTCATTTAATATGTATAATATTCGCATATAATCAAGAAATTAATACCATCTATTCGTGTCAAGTCTATAAAAAAATTATGTAGCAAAACAAAGACGTGTAACAATTCCGATGGAATTTCAATGGCATTTTCGTTGCATTAGGATTCACCAATCTGAGACTATAACACTTAAGGTGTTGGGTCCTCCAATGGCGGTTGACACGAGGACAGTCCACGCGTGGGGCGGCGGTGAGGCCAGGGTCCAAGCGACGGTGTGCGCAGACCCATTTCCTGACGACGCTTCATGGTTATGGGGCAGCTGGCGACTTGATGTACCATCACAGATAGGTAGAAACACGCTTATACTACTACCGGGACTCGGCGGGACAGTGAGCTATTTGCTTCTGGGTCGGGACTTGTAGGCTCTATTCCCACGCGGGATAAGTATTTGTGTAACCCCTAGAAAATTATTTCGGATATAGGCGCTTGTGCCCCGGAGTTGATGACGGCCATAAAAAAGCAACATGGCTAACATGATGATTCACAGACGGTGCTAAGCCCACCAAAGTTGGATGAGGGCAGCAGGACGATAGTGATGACTACCAATGCAAAAGTCTGTGTAAGCCGGCGCAGTGTTCTTTATTACGAACGGACTAGAATTTCACTGTCTTCTAACTTTATGGCAGTTGTGAGAGTTATCCATAAATATGGGCATCCCATGAATAAAAAGATTCGATTGAATGGAGATGGTTTACAAACCTTTTTAACTCATTGACACTTATTCTATCACATTAAAAATTTTATTTCGTAAAACATTGAGAGTTTTTACGTAGACATTATTTCTCAGGTCGGTACAGAGCTTTAGAGAAGGAAAATCTAGACGGCTGTTACCGGTACACATTATGCATAAGCTATGTACAGACAGCCGATGCCGGTGATTACATATTGCATTTGGAGAACGAGAGGGGATTCACGTCGCTAACAGTTTCTCTGATCGTACACGGTGAGCTATATTCAATTATTCATTCCAGTTCACAATCTAATTTAAACTTAAAATTTTGCATTTTGAATGCTACAAATATAATGTGTAGATTTCTTCGTTGTAATTTCAGTCTATCTAGTTGATCGTATTTTAGTTTAAATTTCGAACAACGTATGTTCGAGGATTGCTTTATCGTTTTATGTTTCCCTAGCTGTACGTACTCGTATTCATTTAAATTTCGAATAGCTTAGTCATTATTCTTTTGTAATTTTTTTTCTAATTTATATTTTTTTTATTAAACGCCGTGAAATCTCTTCACGCAGAAAATTTTTCGATAACAGAGACTACGCGCGTGGCACCTATCATTGCGTCAGGTCTAGTCATAGCGGCGTTACTCGTTCTGGTCATATGCCTTTTGGTGCGCTGTCGTCGACGCAGAGGTAAGTGCCGACTTAGGATTGAATGTCAGTTTTTTTTTTTTGCTGTATTCAAATATCATCCTTGTTAAAATCAACGAGGACGAATAAATACTATATAGTTTATTTGTTATATTATCTTAGCTTTAAAAGTGGCAGATGTTTTAGTGCTATTATATTTATTTATTTTATGCGAAAAGTTGTCAAACGAGCAGATGGTTCACCTGATGTTAAGTGAATACCGCCGCCCATGGACATCTGCCACACCCGATGGTTACAGTTGCGTTGACAACCTTTTGAAAATTGGGCTCCGGCTACCTCACTCACCTTCGTCTGGTGTAAAGTATTTCTCATACTTTCACTTTACGCTGGTCTTCTGTGAGGTCGTGGTACTTACCCGGACGGGCCTGCCCATTCGTGCAACAGCCGAGGCTGCAGCGTGGCCCTACCACCGTTATTGCAAAAACATTATCATTATAAATAAAAATTGTCGCAATATTGTACCAACTTTATCTAAATTGGTGGATTTTTACGACATTTTCATTTTTTCATTTTTATTTTATCCGACTACCGCGTTCTTTAATTTTTTGAAATCGGTGGAATGGTTAATGACTTCCCTGTTGCAAAGTTATTTGAAATTTTTTTTAGATATACCATATTCCATATCACGATTTTTAATTACCATAATGTTTTTAGGTAGCGTGGAATACAAAACTGAAGAGTTGGACAGGTAAGCTAATTTTCTACATGTTTAAATGAAACTGTGAGTGGACAGCACAGCGAGAGTCACGGCAGATACTGCCCCATGAATGCTGTGTTCGGGACGCTGGGAATTTAAGATCAAAATAAAAAGTGCTAAAATCTATAATTTCAGTTTCATTCAACCATGGATAGTATTCGCGTAAACAAAATTACTTCTTTTATAATTTTCCACATCTTGTATTAAAACAAAATTTCCATAAAAGTTATCCTATTCTGATATTTTATAACGATATTTAAGAACGTCGAAATCGCCTTAATAGGCATTTCTTGTTCAACAAAAACATCTATTACTGGGAGGCACGTAAAGCCGACCTTGACTTTAAAAACGTTTTGAAAACTAGCTCCCTTCCCCTATGTCTCTGGTATTAAAATATTAGAGATAAATCGCACGAGACCGTTATCCACAGTGACGTGAAGGTCCTGCCGGCGGACGCCGTATATGGGCCCCAGGCGTCGCACACCACGAGTGGTCATCCAGGCAATGGGGCGGTCTCCGTTACAAACGTGGATATCGACTGTCCACGCTACTCACCAGCGGCGCTGCAAGTGCGGCGCGCGGCCGTAGTCCTGCAACCTCCCACAACCGTGTGATGCACGAGGTGTGTACAGCGACACGAACTCGCTAACGGCGTGCATTCGACTCGCATCCGAAGTAATAATATATTCACGAACCTATGGTAAGGGTAGCAGCATTCGATTTTACGAATGGGCACGCTCGTCCGGGGAAGAACCACGGCCTCACAGAAGGCCGGAAGTAAGTATTATTATATCGGGTTTTGTTTTTTTTTGTAAAAGTTATCATGCGAGCAGTCGGTTTTTCCGAAGTAACCGGGGCCTAATTTTCTAACGTTGGCTCCGCATCTGCAACCCTTCAGGTATTGTGAATGTTCATGGGCGGAGGAAATCCCTTAATATCAGGTGAACCGCTCGTTTGCATGCATCTTTAAAATATAAACAAAGTTTTTAATGTATTTACGATTGTTACAGAACACGTGCACAACTTTGCGACATACATCACCAGTGATGAAAAAATGAGAATGGGACCATTTTATATTTACGTTCAAATTAACTATCGTGCGTGTGATAAAAACTTCTTGCAGAAATATTAATCTTACTCACAATATTGTTACTATGAATAATCGTAGAGTTTTGGGAACCTCTAAAACATTATCGATTTTTAGAAATCTGCCATTGAAGTTAGTCTCCAATATGGAAAACGGTAATTAGCTACAGTTAGATATAAATGTCCTCAGTGTAAACGCACATTAGGATGTTTGGAACGTGAGAGTTTAATTCTGAAACAAATTTAAAACCTATTAGGAATATGTACCAGAATTTCTGATTTTTTAGACTTATTGCCCAAAGCTTAAAAATTATTGACAACCATAAACCTAAATGATTTTTAATACCGTGTAGTTTTATTAATGAGGTAATTTGAAAATACTCAGTCATACTGTACTCTCTGGACTTGAACATTACATTAACGTTGATAAAGTTTTTGCAGCTGAACTAAAGTCCACAGAACAATCCAACAAAGTAAAGATAACAAAAATGAACGAACTACAACCCGTCTTGGGAGTTATTTTAACATTATAATTTCTGATATTAAAACTGAATCAGTATTATGTCAAATGGTAAAACATTGGACATATTTTATGTAGACTTTATGCTTTCTTTACGAATTAATGTTAGCGAATAGGTAAATGAATAATTAATGAACATATCGTCACTGATCCAATCTGTAACTAAAGGAATGTGGATGAAGTTTATTGTGGTTTTCTTTTATATTTTAATGAAGAATCCATGAACATACGTTCGACATACAAAGGAGTTGTTATGATTAGGGAGTGAGATATTAAAATTCAATGCTTAACTATTTAACGTAAGTTCCTTGCACCAATAACTCCGATTTAGAGATTCTTGCAGTGAAAATTATGAATGACTTTAGTAACTCTCATTACAATTTTCATTTTAGTAATATTTGGTTTTAATGTAAATACGTGTAAAATTTAACAATGTTAAATTTCATGCGATGAACCTAAAATATGTAGATAACCAGGAACACCTTTTATCGGATCTCTTATACTGGATTTTAATAGTTAATTTTTATGCTACCGTAGATTCTGGGTATTAAAATTCATTTTTATAATGTAGAGCTGTAGCACTTCGTAAAATAATTTATGATACTTCGTTCTAAGAATGTCTTAGATTACCTAAATGCAGAAGCATTAAAATGTATCTATTAATAGATTATTACTAAGGAATATTCAAAAAACAAATATGCATACTGTAATTGCGTAGTATATTTTTGAATATTTCTTAGTAAATAGATGTACATAAGCCCTTTTTGTATGCTGTATGTCGAGACAGGCGTAAACAACAGTTTGTAAATATTTGTAAATATTCCAAGCCACCAAAGACTTTCTATATAAATTCTTTAAATGTCAATTTACCATCATCAATAGTATTATACTAACTAAATCTTCTCTGATATAAATCATTTTGCACTGTCACTGTAAATTTTGTGTAAAATTTATTGTTTGTATATTATTAGTTAAGAAGAAATACCAAAGATATTTGGTTGTTATTTTTTTTTCTCAAAATAAACGATGAAATATTTTTAAGTTATTAAACACGTTTGATTAAATAAACACAATAATGGAAAGCTTTCAAAATGAATAAATGCAAACACCGTACTATATTATAGTAATAAATAGTTACTTACATATATAATGCATAAATTATTTACAAGCACAACACCCTTCCAATGATTACCAATAGTGCATATATAAACCAATAAAATATAATTTCCAATATTTTTTGGAATTCTTTCTAGATATTATATAACCTGTTACTTTCAACACACTGAAACGGGAGTTTTTATACTAATCTTAGTTAAGTACGCAAACCGATCAATATGAATAAGTTACGTATATTGAAAATAATGATACATTATGATATTTGTACTTTGTTACTCCTATTGAAAACTACATCTTAACCAATTATATTTTTTCTCGAAAAAGCAATGTTAACATATTAAAAGACTTTGAAGTAGATATTTTATTATTGTCTATGTTAAGAATATTCTATTGTTTCTTTGAAATAAAGACAGATATTTGTTTTGTTTGGTTTTGTAAACATTTGTAGTTATGTGATTTCAATTTCAAGAAAGAGGTACGCAAATATACAATTAATACTTGGGATATCGACTAACATTATATAACATACATAAGAATAGATGGAGTAATTGCGTGATTTGAATGCGACGAAAGGAGTCAACATTTTAACGTATTTAGAAACGAAAAACCATTTGCGAACAACCAACTAGTATCATAAATAGTGATAAATTTGGCATAAACCAATAACTTTTGCTAAATTAACAAAAAAATAATTAAGTTTTCCATTTTGAAATTCCTTCAAGCTGAATAATTAATATAATTACTAATTAAATAATTGGTGTGTTATAATGGTTACTAATTAAATAATAAAGTGACATTGTTAAAAAAGTGATGATTATTGATAGTAATTTATTAATAACTATGATAAATAATTAACTAACTCGCTACTTGTATCGAGAAAATAAAAGTTGTATGCCCTGTACCGGTTTGTGAATAAGAGATTAAATGCAATTGATAACTGTTTAATTAAATAACTGGAGTTATAGGTAAATGACAAAACGTTTTTATTAACTTTATGGTCCATGAGGTTGGTCGCTCTTTTGACTTTCGGTGAATTGTAATAAAATATTAAAGTAAAATTTTATTAAAATATCAGCGAAATAAATATTTCTTCAAAAATCATTAAATTTTCTAACAACGATAAAAATGGTAGTGTTTAGTCGTAGCGTAAAATAAGGAAATAAAAAAATGGGAATGTTTTTCGCTCAAAGAGTTAGGCAAATATTATCTCCGTATTCCTAGATTCATTCAACTTTTCGGCTCTTCTAGGTCCATATACAGCGTGTCTTTACAATCGCGACAGTAAATGAACACACGTCTAACACTACTTGCCAATAATCATAAAAACTGTTAACGTTAAAAAATCCATAATTAAAAAAAAATATTTATCAAACAAACTAATTAATAAAAAATCTCCTTTTAACAGTATGTTTTGTCTCTTTCAAATTCATTCAACCCATTCCTAAGCTTTGTGACCTTTACAAATGAACTTTACGTTACAGTTTTATACGTAAGGATGTTCTAAAATTCGTTGTTTTGGAAAATTTAATAACTCGGTAAATATTGATGTTTAAAGAATGTAAATGTTTAATACAATTTTAAAAAGTTATCCTCTATATGTGTGTTCATTTATTGTCGCGATTGTAAAGACACGCTGTATATTACATATCGAGTACAGTTTTATTTTATACCAATCCCTGTTTTTTAAAAATTAGAACACAAACTTGATACAGCAATTATGCCATTATATACCATTGGGGTAAACAGAACTCTTAATATACGTAAGGCTTAAGCTAATGTCTAGAGAAACACCCAGTCGGAAAAGTATTTATGCTGAATCGATGTCCGCATATTAATTTTACTCGAGTTAACTATATTCTCTGGTGTCGATAACGCAATCTTGTTGACATTCCACCTTAATTCAAATCTGTAATACCATTGTGACGTAAAGGCACACACGCAGTACGTGTCTACACAAGTTCACACACAACACATTTATGATAGTAATTATTTTATTTGTAACGACTATCTTTTCCAATTCATTTCTCACTGATATTTCTCCTGATTAATGAAGCTCCGTAAAACAACAGAAAAGCTGGCTTACCCTTTGGATTAGAGAATTTACGGAATCCAAGGAATTCGAGTGTCGATTTGTCGAAATGACTGTTATTTACCGAATAATCAAAACGCATTTCCTTTTTTTTTCTCTCAAACAATGGCCCTTCGAGTAGCGGCATCCGAATAGAATCCGGCGAGCTCATTTAGAATCTAGCTAGTATACTCTAAACTAGAAAACTATGGAATTCGAGAAGACGCACTACTTTTGAATCATCAATGCAGTTGAGAGTATCGAGTCCGGATTTTCCTCTAATTCGAACGTGAATGGAACCTAGAAATGATCATAGAAAAATGCCACAAATCAACTTGCCACATAAGTGTTCACGTGCGAATACAATGGAAAGAAAAAGAAATATAATTTCCATGAAAAATTTTCAGTTGCCATAAGCATCCATAGATATCGAGCATCGGCCAGTTCGTGATAAAAAAGACAATTTTTCTTGCTGAAACAATATTATAGATGCATTTAAGCGAAACGTCATCGCTGAATCGATGCTAAAATAAAGAAGTTCCTTTACTTTTGGCAAACCTAATTAAATATAACATATAGCTTTAACATTATTAAAAACAGCGACAGTGAATATAATAAGATAATAATTGGTAACTATAACTCTAGGTTTGCAAGTAAAGTAATTATATGCGACAATAAAATATCGTCTACATCATATTTTCAAGGTTCAACAGGTTCTAATTCGACAGTTTCTTTTCTATGTTTGTTACCTCAGCATTTTGAAATGAGTGAACGGATTTTGATGATTATTTTTTTTTTAAAGCTGGTGCTTTCCATGTGGT